CAAGGAGACAAAGATAGAAAAAAACTGAAGACTTTATAAGGCACATTCAAGCCACACTCAGACGGAAATGTACAAAACCTATTCTTCCACTATTTGCATTCCCACATTATTCACCGAGCCAGCCCATGCTTTAATATAGACATTATGGATATTGTTATAATTCCTGCTGTCTAATTATTTTGTAATTGTTCTGTTCCACAGATGCTGTAGTAAACCACCATCCAGGAACCAAGACATCAGATATAAGAAAATCCATCAACACAAGAATTTGTGAGTTAAGGCACCAGGTGAAGCGAAAAAACAAGATGGACGATTAAAACTGTTCTTTTGGCCCTGTTCCGGACCTTGTTTTAATGAGTGATCAGCTCATGTTTAAAGTTATCACCAGGTGAAACAAAAAACAAGATTGTTAAATAGGATAACAGACTGCTCTTTTTGGCCCTGTATGAAATAACAACGCAGAATATGTGTTCTGACTTTCACAATCACGAAGGACCTCATGGCACACAGTAAAACACTGATAAGGAGAAACAGGATTTACAGTGCCTATAACACACACATCATTAACCATGTCTTCAATGACCCACTGAAGGCCCCACTGTGAGCACCTATAGACAGTTAGTAAGGAAGGAAGGAAGGGAGGGAGGGAGGTTATGTTGTCTACTGTATGGTGTGTTGATAACCTTGGCAGAATGATGGTTTGAAATATGGCCGCTCCACTTCCCGAGCTTTGTGTCTCTCTAGTGTCAAATTCTTTCCAGCCACCTTTGTCCATGTTTTTTATTTTAACAAGTTCCCTCCCTGTGTACGTTTGCCATTCAGCCCCTTCACACATTTCCTGTCCTCTCAAATCACACATGCACACACATCTACCTATCATCATGTACTCCAGTATGATGAACACATGTCATCCCTCAGCAAGCTTTGTTATTGATCACCAGATGTAATGATCAGGAGACGCATATGATGGCGCCACCTTCATTGATTACCAGTGACAGATAAAAAGCATGGCATAATTCCCATTGATCGCCTGTGACAGTGTGTAAAAAATGGTGTCATCTACATTGATTAGCAATAAAAATATGTGGCAAAGATGTGTCACGGGTCCACAGCAGAGGAGCCCTCTCACACTCACTTCTATTCATCATTTGAATGTGTGTGGCACACGTGCAAAGACACGTTTGAAGAAGCAAAATAGCCTCATGAAAGTCGAAGCTTAAAATATGAAACAGGATCAGTTGTGAAATGTACTGACATACCACGGAAATCAACTCATAGTCACACTCTGTGGAAAAGAGTAAAGTACTAAGGCTTTTCCCTCTGGTATCTCGGTAAAGAAGAGTGGAGTCGACAGATGAGAGCTTGAGTACTCACATTAGTCCCAACACAGAGAAATAAAAACATGATTTCTCCTCTTTTAACTTCACAAGTCTGGAAAGTGAACCCTGATCGGCACCTGGGGGTTTCGTAGAGAGTTTGTGAAAGTTTAAACGTATTCTCTCACCCAAAAAATACATATTTAAGCCTGAATAAACATATTGCTACCATTTCCTTTAACTGGATGTAATTAACATTTCAACAGGGTTGCCATTGTTGAAACATTACAGGAAATGTCCAATCATCAACATGTCTTTCAATAAATCAAATTGGATTGTGTGAAAGTCTCTCCACTGTCTTTGTTTTTCTAAACGTTTCCACCCAAGTCACCATTTGACTAAGAGGCAGAGCAGTCAACTTCATATACGTCCTTTGGTAACTGGTTCCGTATTGATCAGATAACAAAATAGTCAGTGTAACACTTGCTTGAGGGTCCCAACAAAATCACTGTACCAATGTGATTTAATGAGCTCCCGCTAGGACAAAGGGGAAATGAGAATAGGAAATCCCCAAAACATGTGCTGCGAGTGCTTTTGAATCATCTGTCGAAAATCGGGTATTACGTTTTTTTCGTTTGTTCTTTTACTGAATCAATATTTTTTCTATTACTTAGCTTGGTGAACTGGAATAGCACTGAGATTATATCTCTTAAAACTGCTTAAGTTCCTGATCATGACACATATATTCTATTGTATCTAAACTTTAGGTAATGGCTAAACATACGACCCGTGTGGATTAAGGGGGATTCTTTGGCAAACATTGAAAAAACTAATAAATCATAACACATGTTTCCATTTGTGTATATTCACCTGTAACTAATAAGTGTTGTTTTTTCGTTACCTTACAATGAGCCTTTCATATCTATGGGAAACGAGTCCAAACTTATATAGAATAGTGGCTAATGGACACCTGCTGTTGTACAATGAAGTAAGTGACCAGAAATACATTTGCAAAGCGGCGACTCAAATGATAGGGATCTGGATGGTGCAGACATAATCAGGTATATAACAGTTATGTTAATCTTTTTACCTCCACCAAGGAGGTAATTTATTTGGTTTGTTTTACTTGTTCGTCAGCAGGATTACGGAAAGATGGTCTGATTCATTGCGTGGGCCAAGGAAAACAGCTTTCATTTTGGAATGGAAAATAATCAGTGTGGATACAATTATTTTTTAACCTTCATTAACATTGCGAGACATGACACCTTTCCTTTGGGGAAGGTCCATACTCTCCGAGGGCCCCTCTAGTTTTATTGTAGAATCATGTTTTTTCCTTTAGTAGAAGACTTGAGTCATTGCTGTTTACTTTAACTAAATCCATTTTGTTTGTAGAAGACACACACTTTGCTATAACCCCCACATTACCACCACCCCCCCCCCTTTTTATTGTCTTCCACTCTTTGTTCCTTCCATCCATTTTTCATTCACTTTTTCCTTGATGTGTAGACTTGATTTCTCCCTCCTCTCTTCCCCTATCTCTGTGATTTATACGTCCACAGTGTGTTTTCACCCGCTACCTTGATGAGTGCTCAACCACACATGCACACACAAATAGATGGATGAGCTGCTGATAGCTAAACCAGCCAGACTTCTCTGTGAATTATAATCACCTTCAATCTGTGTCTCTGAATCCCTGCCCAGTTCTTGTGTGTGTGTGTGTGTGTATGTGTATGTGTATGTGTATGTGTATGTGTATGTGTGTGTGTGTGTGTGTGTGTGAGTGTCACTGTTCCTGCTTATTATTCTCTCGGTCCCCTGGTGTTTGACCCATCTTTCTGTTCTATCGAGGTTTCATGTGAGCTGGAATATAATACTATTTCCATTGCTGTCACATCGTCAATGGAAAAGTGTGTGTCTCTTTATGTGAATAACGGGTGGTCTAGCAGACACTGAGGTAGCAGGGGAGCACTCTGGAAATATAAATCTCAGAAAGAAAGCAAGGCAGAGAGAGGACATTTGAGAGAATATATCTTAAGTTCTTACCAGAAACCTATTCTTATACACCGAAAATATGCTCTCTAGAGCTTAACTAACTTTGAACTTTTTTAAATTCCCTAAATATTCAAATCCAATCAGGAAATCTCAGAGATAAGCCAAAGCACTCTTTTGTAGTAATTTCAAGCAATCTGTTGGATATAGTAAGACTTAAACCTTGAGTTAAAGCCCTATTATGCACATTTCAAGATAATTCAGGTTCAGATTGGTATTTTGTGCGACATGTCTCCATGCTTTAATGTTCAAAAAGATCTTTATTTTTCTCATACTGCCTTTGCTGCAGCACCTCTTTTCAACCTCTGTCTGAAACCAGAGCCCGCTCTGATTGGTAAGCTGGCCGGCTCTGTTATGATTGGTCAACCGCTTAGAGATGTCCCGCACCTTAAACTATCGTACAATGTATTGGAGTGCAAATGTTACATAGTGATGTCACTATGTTATGGAAAAGCACTAAACAAAGGAGTCCAAGTGGGAGGGAACTTTGAGATTGTTTGTCTTTGCAGACCATTTACATGCACAAAAACCTATATAACACTACAGGAAAGGGAAAATCCCCCAAAAAGTAATAGGGCCTCTTTAAAGACATTCAGACTCAAGGTAAAAATGACATGAATGACCACGAAAAATGCTTTCAAAATAGCATTTTGAGGGCTACTGCGGAAAACACACCTTCTATTGTAACCTGACATTTAATTTCAGATGAAATAATTGAAATAAGGAACCCAAAATCTAGTCCTTTTCTAGATTAAAAAGGTAATTAACATTTTAAAATACAGGCGATAAGAGGGCAACTGCAATCTAGGTCAGTGCATTGCAATGAAGAATATTAATAGTAAAAATCTATCAGCTGCACATGATATTGAACCTTTACTGCTCTAATGACCACACATGTGTATTGGCTGTTTACGTTTCAGTAGATGAATTTGTCTTAAAACCCACTTTTTCTAGTATTGGCCCAATTCATAACTGTAGTAAACACTGCAATGACTGGGATATCTCTGATGTTAAAAATTTACATTTTTATGGAAATCTTTTCAAAAACTAACCCCAAAGCGCCTCCAACTTATTATTCATATATCCCATACTGTACATCCTCATTAAGGTGTATTACCATGAAGTCATATGGGGAGAAGCTGATGACAGATCCCTTTGTGTTACCAAACTCCAGCCTTTTCACTCATCAATTCAATGTTGTCATCAAATGCATGAATGATGAATGCTATAATTAAGGACTATAAGGACAGAATGAACAGGAGCTATGCAGAAAGGTAAATATCTTTATGATGGCTGGTCCAACTTGGTGTTAAGATTTAAAGATAATCAGATTTGACAAAAACTAGATTCTTAGACAAGGAGGTAACTACGCTGTACGAAAAGACCTCCAGCCATATGACCCAGCTAAAGAAAGAATGAAGTTATAACATGTGTCTGGACCTGAGAACCCTGCATGGTTTAGAAATACGGTGGTCTATTAAATGGTTCAATACTGCCCCCTGCTGCAGAAAGCCTCAACATCATCCTTTTTTTAAAAGCTTTTTATTTGTTCTAGTCTTGAATATGAATATAGAACATTTTTAGCCTACAGGCTCTTTTAGGCCTGGGAGCAGCATATACAACCACAATACAAGCCAGAATGCATACATTTATAGCCAGTGCAAGTACATATACACATATTAATGAATGAGAATCATACTGTATATGGATAGTGCAATTATTTTGCTGTTTTAGCATCTAGCTTAATTAGCCACATTAATAGAATTTGGGTGAATGCCTCAGTAAGTAAAATATAAAATTAGTTCACCCCTGTGGTGAGAAACACAACCATGAAGGAGCTCAACATCACCATAGCGACCCCAGAAACAGCAGCACTAGGGATAGCGCCACTGTTAAAGGTCTTGTCGTGGACATATGTGATGATGGACAGCGCTCCTGCGTACGCCTCCTCGCAGGCCGGCTTGATCTGATCCTCTGGCAGCAAGTGGCTGAACTCACCTGGAGGATCATTAAGAAACATGCAGAGTAGTACCAAGTAGAATCCAGTGCATTATGTGTGGCTGATGATTATGTAAAACACACGTTGGTCAAGCCAAGCTCACCTTTGTCTCGCAGCTCAAAGGTGTAAGAGAAGGGGATGCCGACGAGACGAGCCCAGTCGCGGCTTGAGCCTGAGTTTGGATCTAAAGGTTAAAGAGGGAGAAATTGTGATCCATTTCTTCATGAGTTAATCCATCAGGAAGACTACTACACATTCTTCAAAATTGTCTACTCTTTTACACCACATCCTATAGTTTTATGCTCTCCTATCAAGTTAGAATACTCCCTTTTAGTTTGAATCATCCAGTCAATAAAGGTAGTTGTTTCCTTTCTTTTTCTACAAACTGAAATCCATACACTTTCAATAATGTGTTTTCATCTGTGCTGTTTCTCAATTTGGATGCTTTCCTTGGTACACTGCCCGCAGTGTGTGAATTTAGACCGGAGTGTTGACTCAAATAGCACATGGCTGCGTTGCTATCACAGGAAGTGACAGTCGCCATTGTTAGCTAGCTAGTTAGCGTTATTGTTAGCAAATAACTACAGGATACTAAATTAATCCGATATAACTAACAGTGGCTTATTTTTGAAAATAGAATAGTGCTACGTGTACTAAATATAGAAAAAACGTACATGTATAACTTTTATTTGTATAGTGCTGTGTTCACGGGAGCTGGATGCACCACTAACATGTAGTAAAAATGGCTAACTAATGGCTAACCAATGCTAACTATTCAATGCAAAAAATACATGATTCAAACCCACAGCATCTTAAGAAATGATGCATTATATCCCATTGATTCATATTGACAGCTAGGGTGATGTGAATTTATATCTCACATGTTCCTCTTTCTTTTTATATTTTGGCAAAGGATAAGTCAGAAAACTTGTCAGAGCAAGCGCAGATCATGTGTTAAAAACAGCTATTCATGACAGGAGAGAAAAGGGGATGGCATAAGAAGTCTTACAGAGGATTTGTGGAGATGTTCCTACAGTGTAGCCCATTCCATGTAGCTTCTTCATTTCTGCTGCTGCTGCCTTCCCCACTGACACCTGTGCAACCCACAAAATATTATTTTTCGTAAACCAAGTAGCCTACCCATAGTCTCTTTCCAATCAAATCTTAAAGGGTAAAATAGGTAAAAAGTGATCATAACAATCTAACACAAATCTAAGGGAATTTTTGATCAGTGCAGTATGTCGCACGAAGACAAAGTAAAGCGTTTTGTTCCATAAACCATTAACTTTTCTGGTTTTGAACGTTGTGTATATTTCATATAAAGGTTTACTGTTTACATCTCTGTAATACAAAGCACACACTTACCAGTTCATCATAGTTGGGTGCAGAGATCTGAGGGTGGCCATATGGTAAGAGTATAAGTTGCCCCGCGGAGTGGATGGTGAGAAAACACAGAGTCTGGCTAACCATCTTACCTAGATACAGACAAAATGAACAAGTGATTAAAATCAAGATGGCATTAAGACATTGATTTCTTAAGAGTGTAGCACAGCCTCAGTAATGATAGTCAAGTAATGCTTATTTAAAAATGTGAATGTATTAATGTTGTCGAGATTTCATGATAAGCTCAGGGGCAATGACATTTCAATGATAGATGATTACCAACAAAGTCCATCACAGCTGTAGCCTCTGGCTCTGACCCGGCTTCTTTCCCACAGTATGTGTTTACACAACTGTCAAATGACACACCAACCGCTGAGGAAAGACACAACATCAAGTACATCAACATTAACTTGTGATAATATATGGCAGATTTTACAAAGCGCTGTCAGCTTTATGATTCAAACATACTTCCTTATGTCAAAACTAAATTATAAAATGTGAGTTCCTAGGGAAACGCTTGTGAAAACCAACAATTAAATTGCCAGAGGGCATGAGCCATGTCACAACAATATTTCATTTAACTCTGTGGCCTTCTAATTTCACATAAAAATGTAGCTGTTCATGTCAGTAGCAATACATTTATCTGGGGGTGTTAATTTTTTGACACATTTTTGACTACAGTATAGATGTTTTGTTTCCACCACATCCTATCTTTTTAGGTTTATGACATTTCGTATATGATTCAAGTAAGTTATGCAAGTAATATTTGTTTAATTTCTGGAAGCTTTGAGTCACTAACAGCTTGAGGCAAATGAGGCATACTGTTGTAATTCTTGAAAGCATGCGACTCACTTCCCCAGTTGGCATTAAAATTTCTGTTGAGGTCAACACCAAAGCAGCTACTGCCCGAAGGAGGGGTGGATCGAGACTTCCTCCAACGTCGATTCTACAAGGAAACAACACACAGACGCAGGTGAAGACAGTTTTAAGTAAGGTTGGGATGAATGATGAAAAAAATAACAATCCTTGACAGTATTACAATGGTGAACTCACGGTGCTATTGACCCAGGTGTACATGTATCCGTCCACATTGATCACAGGAGTAACGTAGACGTCCAGGTTCTGCAGCATCTGTTCCAGCTTCTTATTGATTTTATACGAGGTCACAATCTGAACAAACGCTCACATGTCAGAATAAACCACCGTGAATATGTTCGTCTTTTAAATTATGTCTGAGTGTACAAACCTCTTTGACAAACCACTGGCAGAAGGCGGGGGCGATCCACTCCCGAGCATGGATACCACAGTCCATCCATATTACCTTCTTCTCTTTGCCCTCTGGGTTTTGTAGTCCAAACTGGAGACGCACAACATGAGTCAATTTAAAAGTAAGAAGTGTGCTATATTTAGTAAGACAATTAGTTTAATATTTTTGGTTCAATACACATATTTACCACCTTATCACTTAGAAGGTTTTCTCAATCATAAATAGTGAGATTGTGATGAATAGCAGCATTTTGCTTAAGATGCAAACATTTTATCGACTACCGTTGATATTCAGTTCAGACAAAGTGGCGAGAGGCAAGTGAGGAAAAACATTTGGTGATCAAGCCTGATTTAACATGTTTTCTCTCCTGTGTTTATAGTTAAGACATAGGTAAAAAAGAGAGGTTTTTCCAAAATAATCTTTTTTAAAGTGGACCTATCATGCTATATTTGAATAATATATTGTAGGGCCATACCTATATAAGGTATATTTATACGTTTTATTTTTCAAAATACCAAACAGATCATGCATTTTAGCCATGCCTCATTTCGCTCTATTTTGCTTTCCTCCACCCTGTCTTTGCATGCGCTGCAGCTGAACACGCCCCCTTGCAAAGGAGGGGGCCGAGTTACGAGCGTCATGTTACCATGCTGTTACCATGCTGTTACCATGCTGTTACCATGCTGTTACCATGCCACGGCAACCTCTCATTCCCCTGATAGGTGGAGAGTTGGCCATATAGGCGGAGCTCCTCCGTCCTGATGTCAGAGAAATGTTCAAATCTGTATCAGTCTGTATCAGATCCGTTGCAGCCCCGTTTTTAGAGATTTGGGTATGGAGGAAAATAGAGAGGGTTGTGTTTTCTGACACGTGGTGAGTTCCCTGGAACACCGGGGACACATATTCATGTATAAAAGACGTACAAAAGTGCATTTTGCATGATAGGTCCCCTTTAAGTTTATTTCCCACAAGAGGATGAGCTGCACCACTACCCCATGTTTGAAATAGGAGTAAAGGCATTAAGTTGTGAATGTCAGCCTCTTGTGTTCAATATAGGTATTACTACAACAGATCCCAGGTGAAAGTAAACGTTTTGGTAGTCTTTTTTTTCCGTCTCATAAGTGAAAATTACTTAATCAAACTTAGAAAATGGCTCAGCAGAACTTTTTTCATACACTTGCCTCTCAGGGCTTTCGTAAATTCAACATAGCATTATGTGAAAAATGAAGCAGATACTGTATGTTACAGTGAATGTGTTGTACCTTCAGCAGTGTGATATTATTTCCTTCAAAAGTGCGTCCGTAGACAGCAGAGGAGACCAGCTCTGGGTTCTCTCGCTCCACATCTTCCATCCACTTGTATATCTGTGTTACAATTTCATCCGTGTTATAATTCATTCTTGTAATATTATTACTAATATAATATTACAAGTATTACAACAATTATTCATTCATTCTTGTAATGTACATATATTACACAAGCTCCCTTTGTTCAAATCCATCAGTAATCTACAATCTTTATAGTATCCAATGGAAGAAACACAGGTGTGAGACAACAAAAGGAGGGAAGATGTATTACTAATAAAATACCATCTGGTTATAAAGGGCTATACATGGATAGATAGACTCTGACCTCATCCATGGGGTGATATTTGGTGTAGTCATAAATCCGTGTTGATTCCAAGCCCTCAACTAAACTGTGGATTAAAAACATGAATAGGGTTATATATACATCTTTATCTGCCTTGTGGCACAAAAAAACATAGTAAACAGGTGAACGGTGTGTATTACAAAACAAAACACTTCATCTAGCAGTTCCTCACAGATTTCCCTGACAAAACTATTTTTTTAAAGCCGTTCTCAAGTCATAAAATCAGGAGAAATAACAATTTAGATCAGACTTAGAAAACAGTCACCAAAATATTTGATTCCCCTCACTTGTCTCTCTGGGGCTTCCGTAGAAGTAGAACTTTTTGCGCCACATGTTTTAGGAATTCGTTGTGTCGCACTTTTGTACCATAAATATTTCACGAACTACACTGCTATACCAAAAAACCTTTTCTCACACTAACATGCTAAGTTTGAACACTTACAAAAACAGATTCCCTAAAACCAACACATAACAACACAACTCACCTGTTGGAAGTCTGTACAATGGTTAACACCAGCATGAAGAAACCAAGTGTGCTTTTCTCCATTTTCTTCTTTTTTCTTACTCAGACTTTTACTATCTGCTCATTAAGCTGTCATACTATCTGCTCCTGCAGCACTAACTAACGCTGCAGTTCCAGTAGCAGAGTTTCTTTCCAGCCAGATGACCTTAGACCAGGTCTATTGGTGAGAACACATTTCAATTTTATTACAGCAGAAGTAAATACATGTCACCTATGAGAGATTATGTGAGAAAGAAATCATAAATAAGTTATCTATTAACCTTTATGAAGTGCCACTAAAATTATATAACAGCCGATAGACATACTGCTCTCTTTTTGTTTGTTAATCCTAACTAAATACTCATTGTGCTTTTCCAGAAACACAAAACATGACCATATTAAATAACATATTAAAAAGCAGTCAGTACATTATACAGGTCGTGCAGTGAGCCTGTGTTTTGTAGCGATAGAGCTAGAAAGCTATGCCTCTCCTGCTGCATTCTGCACCGTCAGGAGTTGGTGAATAAATGCGCCATTCATCCCTGAACTGTCCTGTGTGTGTGTGTGTGTGTGTGTGTGTGTGTGTGTGTGTGTGTGTGTGTGTGTGTGTGTGTGTGTGTGTGTGTTTGTGTGTGTGTGTGTGTATCTGTTGTTTTGGTTGTCCCCTGTTTGGATTCACGTGGATAATGTAATTGACAGCAGGCTCTCATTCAGGCCAGGACAGGCACAGTGAAAGGGGGACGGACACAGGAGAGTTAAGATAGCGCCTGGATTTTTAGTCGTCGACATTTGTAAATGTTTCAGGTTGGACATTGTTCGATTTGGTGAGAATTCAAGCAAAGGAGGTGTTTGTTGTGGGATTTTATCTATTGGAAAGGGCCAATGGGTGCCAAGTATACCATCTGTTGCTGTCAGTACTATCTGAAACACAACAGCGAGGAGAAGAATGCTATTTTGCGGTAAGACAAACACCTGATACACTTGATGACAACCCAAAAGCCTCTAACCCTAACCCCTCTTTAAACCAGCTCTTTCCTCTAATTCTCCTTCTTTCTCACCAGTATGCGCACCACTACAGCTCCAAAACAACCAGTGCTGTTATCCAGTGACACCAGTGACAGTGACACAGAAGAAGAGAGCCTTTTCGGGCCACGGCCTTCGAGAAGGAAGCCTGGGAAAAAGCAGCCGAGCCAGAGGAGCAGTGTGAACCCGTGGGCCGACACAAACAGACCCTGTGAGCCTCAAATCAGGAGAGGATCAGACCGAGAGCTGCAGGCTTTTATTAGCATGAGAGACCAGGCAGACACAGCTACAGAGGTGAGAGACAGTGTGTCGTTGCATATTAAATGTGCAATGTCAAAGGGAAATAACACACATAAACACATAGAAAAAATCAGCAGAATAACTGTCTCAATCTGTATCTAAATAAAGAGAAGAATCAGATATTTATGTTTTTTTTAAAACAGTGACATATGTTCACATACTGTACACAAACTTGAATGTACATAACAGTGGAATGCTGTAAATATTAGCAGAAATTGTAACATTTTTGTATCAGTTAAATTGTTTGTGTCTAATATCATATTGGCAACACAAATGACATAGAACTGTAAAGACCTTGTATATATCTAAAATATGTATATAATATATAAGGCCTTTAAAACTGTAGTCCTTAAAATAAGTTAAAAAATAATCAGACAAATACTACCAAACACTTCTGTGATAATTTTTTGACTGGGATTTAGTAGATCCGTACATCTATTTTTATCCATCCACTGATCATTGGATTATAAGCGTTTATCTGGACAAAGATTTACTGTTCTTTCTTGGCTAAATGCTTCTAAAAACTCTACACATGAACTATTACCAGGAGGTACTACAGTAATTTGTTAATTCAGTCAACATCTTCTTATCTGTTTTACTGTTCCAGCTCTCTTAATGTAATTAAACAATAAGGGGAGAGGAGACAAGAAACCTTTTAGACTCACTTCTATGAACTCAAGCTAGATTCCTAAATAACTTAATGTTCAGAATATCAAGGAAGAAATGAACTTGATGTTCCCAGTACCAGGAGGGGAAAGAAAGTATACTGCACACACAGTTCCCAAAATAGAGACATGATACTTTATTCACTCATTCAATCAGTGACCCAAGACTTCTTACATAGGCACTAATGGCGCATTTCCACTACACGGTCGGCCTCGGCCACACTCGGTACGGCTCGGTACGGCTTGGCCGCGTTGGGCCTTAACAGGGCCGACTCACTTCATGCTGCGCTTCCATTACAGTTTAGGAACTGGGGTAGTTACTATAGTAACGCAGTGTAGGCGGAGCCGTGACGTCATCTTCAATGAGAAATCCAGAAACACAACACAGCCGTTAGCTGTTAGCACTCAGAGCTCACAGCTCCTTATATATGTTCAGAAACTCGACAAAAGTTAAACAAGTACACACCACAGACTGCCTGTGTCATGGTGAATACAGTCGCTGCTGTATTTATGTCTGTATAGGCCGTTGTTGTGAGTGTGGACGGTCGGGGCATATACTGCGTTAGCTTAGCCAATCTCCATCTAGAAAAACACGAATTTTAAAAGGTTTTTCGCCTGCCGTCTGTCTGCAGACTTGACAAAGCATTAATTCATGGTTTTTACTAACCGGTATCAGTATGTTGTTACTTCGGCATCATTTTGAAACGTGTATTACAATTAAATCACGGTCAAATATGTCCATCTTGTTGTAGTTCTAGCCCTCTTGCCAGCGCTCCTCTCTCTAGTTTAGCATACTCAGCCCTGTTTGTTGGCCCCGATAGAACCACAATTTTCTAGGGCCAGAAAAGAGGGGAAAAAGTGGCCCCGCGCCGCGCCGCGCCGGAACGAGGCCTAGTGGAAGCACAACCAAAAAAGGGGACGGCACGACACGGCACGCTTAAAGCGAGCTACGCGCTGCAATGGAAATGCGCCATAAATGTAGGTTGTTTACAGGGATGGGAGTGTTACTTAAAGGGGCCCTATTATGCTCATATTCAGGTTCATATTTGCATTTTGTGTCTCTACTGTGACATGTTATCATGCTTTAATGCTCAAAAAGGTCTTCATTTTTTCATACTGCCTGTGCTGCAGCACCTCTTTTCACCCTCTGTCTGAAACCAGAGCACAGTCTGTTGTGATGGTAACTGGCTAAATCTTTGGTCATTGTTCAACCGCTAAGAGATGTCCCGCCCCTTAGCCTATGGCATAAAATGTGTTGGATGGCTAGTACAATCCTGTTACATGTATTCGGATACTCTCCAAGCCTGGTTGTTTATTACAGAGTGAATGGGTTAAACACACAGTGACTTTGTATGTGTGTGTGTGTGTGTGTGTGTGTGTGTGTGTGTGTGTGTGTGTGTGTGTGAAGAAGTTCTCCACAGGATAAGGGTTAGGACAGGGTTAGGGTTAGGTCAGGGTTAAGGTTAGGTCTACAGTAAACCTTTGTGACTGCAGTCTCTGAGCAGACAGATTGAATTTGATGAACATGTCAGACTTCATGTAGAGAATAGCCGGCTGCGGGACACATTGGGCACATTGTGTTTAATAAATGAAATTCCTTAATGGCGATGTGGGCCAACAGCTTGGCAGTCAATTCAAAGAGAATATTCACTGAACCATTACAATTATGTCGGCAGATTGTTTTTAAAATGAGGACAAACAAACTGAGAATCGGGTCAGTTGCATTAAAGGGAATTCAGCAATAGGGGAAAATAAAGCCCTGTCAATAAAGTGGAATATGCTGCTCTGTAAACTCGTTGCTATGTGTGATATAAAGGTATTGTTATGATTATGTCCCGGGTTCAGTGAGAAACCATGTTACTATTTAGTTTGTTTGTTTCAAGTGTGCAGTTTCTAATGCCATACAGGGTCATTTTCACAGTAGATTTCTTGACATGCCATAGTCAGAAAAGCACAGGTGCTTCTCACATTAATAAATGCTCTGCTCTATTCAAGTGTCCAAAATTGAGTGACAGTTAGATAGCATGCACATTACCAGGACCTTAAAAATAAAACTGCTAAATGGAATTCAGCCCGTCGTTTATTATTAACAACTGTCATTTTCCGACTGTGACATGTAAAAATGTTTCCTGTGAAAAAAGGCTTGAGTCTTAATTTGACAAAATTGTATTAATTTGATAGTTAAAAGGGCCATATTATGCTCATTTACAGGTTCATATTTGTATTTTGTGCCTCTACGTGACATATTTACATGCTTTAATATTCAAAAAGCTCTTTATATTTCTCATACTGCCTATGCTGCAGCACCTCTTTTCACCCTCGGTTTGAAACCAGAGCCCAGTCTGCTCCGATTGGATAGCTGGCCGGCTCTGTCTTGATTGGTCAACGCTTAGAGATGTCCCGCCCCCTACCCTATCACGTTCAATGTGTTAGATCGCTAGCCAATAGAAGTGCAAGTGTTATATATTGATGTCACACTGTGCAATGGAAGTAAACGAAGGAGTCCAATGGAGGCTTTTAAGCAAGGGGAATGTGTGGGAGAGAAACTTCCTCTGGAAGTAACTTTGGGATTTTAGCCTTTGCATAACATTTACATGCACACAAACTATATAACAGACTAGAGGAAAGGGTAAACCCCTAACAGAAAAATAGGGCCCCTGTAAAGGTCAAACGAACCTAACAGCAGGGTCAGATTGAGGCGGTCTAATCCAGGAGATCTCCTAAGGCAACATAAGTGAAAACACCTGTGTAAGTGTACTGTATGACATTTAAGCAGCAGGTAACCATCAGTTATACACACAATGACTCGACATCATTGCTCTATCCACCCAATTTCCAGATAAGATAACATGACAGATGTTATCATATGCTTTTGTGTGTGTTTAGGAATGGGAGAAGCTGAATTATGACATACACAGTTTACGCTATACGAGACGAGAAGTAAGATCACGGTGGAAGAAAATCCTGCTATTGCTAGGTGAGAAACTATTTTCTTTGATTCATTTGTGCTACAGTTAACTCTACTCACCTTATTTTGTTGTCCTCGGTTGTATCTCCTCTTCATCTTCCCTCAGGTTATCAGTGCGAGGTGGACGCCTTGCTGTGTGTGAACAAACAGAACCGCTTCAGTCGAGATCAGGAGCATCTCAACAAAACCACAGAAATGCTGAAACAGCTGCTGGACCACACCTCCCTGTTTCCTCCTGAAACTGAACACCAGAACACATACCTCTGTATCATGGTAAACACACAAACATACACACTCATTCTCTCTTCCTCACCTATTTTTTTATGCTTATGTTACAGGTCCCCGATATGAGGACCACAGTAACGGTTATGATACCTGTATCGTGCAGGTGAAAGAGAAGTAATGAGGACACCTTGTGTTCAGTTTCCTTCCAGATTACTTCTCCTGAGGTTGTTTTATTACACAAAATCATATAAACATATCAATTATCTTATGCATTTCAGTTTCGACTTACATTCCTCAATAACCATTCACATACCTTCACTCTGTCTGTATGTTACTCTTTTATGTGATAAACACATATGTCGAATTGAATTTCACATTCAATAAAATCTGTTGTACCTTAAATACATTTGTATACAGTATTAACCTGTATTAAATACTACTCTTCTTTTTACTTCCACTTAAAAGTAGTATTTCATGACCCCTCTAACCTGTCATATTGACTATTTACCTTCTGCCATTAATGGCAGGTCACTAAAATGCATTACTGAAACATATTTAAGTGTAACAAACAACCTTACTGTTTTACCAACAGTAACTAACTTATAACCCTTACAAAGTACATATTTATTACAAACTCACAATCACTATACATGCATGTAAATACTCAGTGTACGGGAGGCTTCAGATATACTGACAAACTTGTATCCTTACTGCGTCAGACCACGTTGTCCCCAAAATGGCGCCGTACCGGGGAAGCTAGGCTAATACACTCACACTATTTAACGGTTTTACACATGTAAACAGCGGTACAAAGTCTTCTAACTGTTAGCGGGCCGTTACATATTATCTTCGCAAACCTTATGGGGGATTCATTGTGATTTATGCACAGTTTACCAACCTGTATCGTGCAGGTGAAAGAGAAGTAATGAGGACACCTTGTGTTCAGTTTCCTTCCAGATTACTTCTGAGGAAACCCCGGGAACGTCCGTCGCTTTAATCGGTACCCCGGAACCATTGAATCGAACACAAACGTTCCGCCTCACTACTCACTGCATCTATCGACCCCGTTAGTGAAATGAAAATAACAGATGTACAAAATAAAGGCATATTCTTACTCTAAATATAATACTTATTATATTAATGTGGTCACACATCCCAGGGGTGCCACACGCTCCCCGACAACAAAAGTGGCTCCCGACACTTACTTGAAATCACATGTTCCTATTCAAGATAACTTTAACATCTTCATAAAACACAAATATTTACAATGTCCAAACTATCACACCTCAACATGTATGACCCTTAGGACTAACACTGTGTGTGACCTTTCAATAACCTTGTATGGGACATGTAAATGGTGAATGGGGATATGGAATGAGGGGTGTGTAGTGGAATGATGGTGGGCATGTTTGTGAATACCAAAGGTGAGTGTAGGGCATGAGGTATGTATTCATAGCATTTACTGTTGGACCCGACTGGTATGTTGGGAGGCCAAGAGATGAATAGGTGAGGATTTGACCTGGTCGTCTCTCCCGAGTAGAGCGTCTCAGTGGGACAGGTGAGTCAGGTTCAGGGTCTTGTACCCGTTCCTCGGGACATGCACGTTGAGGCAACTCTTGCTCATCTTCGTTCTGAGGTACATTAGGGGTTGTCTGCTCATTGTCCTCAGTTTGATGAGAGATTTCCGGTTCATCCTCAAGTTGAAGTTCACACCTGTCTGACGAGTACTCTTCTTCACAAAGACCTTTAGCCTGTTCTCCAGCTTCCCGTTGTGCAATGTCCATGTCAGGTAAAGTTTGGAACTCTAGCCGTCTCTCTACACCAGAGTTCCTGGTAGTCTTTCCCAACATCTCCTCAGAAGAATGTGGTTCCCACACTGATGTCTGTTCTCTTCTTAACATACATGGTCTTTTTGGAGTAATTGTTATGTTAGGCTTAACCCGATTTGCTGGTATCCTCAACCAGTAACCTCCTGTTGACTCATCCTCTGAATCAGATGTCTCAGCATTTTGGTCTCTCACATCCCTTTGTCTCTTTGGATGGCTTCCTTGTTTCTGTGATGGCTTTGGGGTCGGTTTGACTAACTGTGGTGGAAATTCCACTGGCAAGTCATTGACAAGCAGAAGCAGGTTTCTGTGCAGGGTTCTGGTTTTCCCTTTCGCATCACTTTCTGGATGGACGACATATACTGGGTTATCTGAAACCTGTTCCTTTACCACATATATCCTCTTCTCCCAATAGGAACGTAATTTACCAGGCCCTCCGCGCTCACTTATGCCGCGTTTCCACTACACAGCCTCGCTCGGCCCCGCTCGGCCTCCTTTGGCCGCGCCCGGCCTCGTTAGGACCAGCTCACTTTGTGGCGCGTTTCCATTACAGTTTAGGAACCGGGTCAGTATCTATAGTAACAGTGTAGGCGGAGCGACGCTGCTTAAAACTGCCGTGACGTCATCTTCAATGCGACACAACAATGGAGATGTGAAAGCGATCGTTTGCTTGTTTTTTGCTGTGTGGTTTATTATCACAAGAAATAGACGAGAGTTGTTTCGAAAGAGGCGACGTATAGCAAGACGAGGTATAGAAGAAGCTGACGCGAGAGTTCGGGCAGTCCTCCTACGCCGCAGAGACTACAGGACGACTCGAATCACTACTAACTACAATGCTACTTGGTAAGCTAACGTTCGCTAACTAGCAATGTGTTTAGGCTCACTCTCCCTATACGACCAAAGTATTTCAAGTATTTAATTAATTGTAGCTACCACTTTTACGTATTAAAATATGTATGCTTTTGTTTGTGTATTTCAGAAGTTACCGACCGAGCTACCGAGTGGTGGAATGTGATTGTTCCATCTTTCACACACTCAGTGGGTGGAGAACTTCAGGATGCCTGAGGAAAACCTACGTGTAATACCTAAATATTCATTGTATTGTATTGAACATAAATACATCTTTTCTTTTTCACATACATGTGTTTGTCAAATTATTTAAACCAAAAAAAATGTTATCAGAATTGACTATTTAGTAAATATTTGAATTTCAAGCACCAGTACTGCCCCCATAATAATAATCTAATAAATTAAGCAAATATCAAAGCAAACTATAAACATAAATACAAAAGTGTAAAACACAACAGAACTATATTCATAAATGCAAGTGTAAAAAATTGTTAACATGGATGGAGGCTAAAGTATCCACAGCATAAAATAATATGATTATGATGGTTTGTCTGAAAGACACAGCCTCAAGGTTCAAGGTTTTTTATTTTGTCATACGAACATAGCTAGTGTAGTTATGACAATGAACATCTTAGGTCACAGGCTCCTCCAACAGTGCAACACAATAACCCAGATCAACAGAAATATAGTGCAAGTAAATATTAAGCGCTGTGCACCGCTCTCTTTGTATAGGTGTTTTCTTTTGTTCTCTTCTCTTTGAAATATATAAGCAATGTGTTTGAGTCTAGCACAACGAGGGTATTACAATTGAGTAATTTTTCTACATGTATTTATCATGTATTCTTAATACCATTATGTAATGTTATGTTTTAGAGGAGGACCTCAAGCTAGCAAACTCAATTTCAAACAGTATGCAGAGTTGTCCTGCTAAAGAGTTAAAATGTATTATTTAACCAAGTATTTATTCTCTTATTTGCTTTAATTGCAACAGATGATAAAGGTTTCACTGTGATAAGTATTCTCTTAAATCCATAAACCCCTGTACAGTGCTTTGTGGACGATGGTGTTTATGATATTTCTGACTGCAGAGGGACGCCTAGATGATGCCATCTTTCTGTGCGATCGCTGGTGGGTGCAATTATTTATCAACAAGCAATAAGATAATACATGGCATTGATTCTGCTGGGCCAGTTGCCGTTCCTGCAGGGCCAGATCGTCTCCTCCTCGGTTTGTGCTGTTGATGCAGAGGACGTTGTTCGGAACTGTTCCTCCTCGCTAGTCCCAATGTAATCATCTAGAACAGAAACATGACTTGTAAATTCCACAAACTACTGCAGCACAATACTATAAATAGCAACAACAACTATAGAAAAGACAAACTGAACGTAAACAATGGCACATATGGTGTTAGCAAACAATAGCTCTCGCTAATGCTATCTGCCTAGCTAGCCTTCGGGGCTCCATCGGGGTTGTCGAACATAAATGTAAGGATAAAATAGACTTATTTGTTAGAAGTGAGCTTTAAAACAGATAGGGACACAAAGCAGGGACACAAAGCTTTCAAGCAAATAACACAGCGTTAGCAAAAACGTACCATGCAGACTCCAGTAACGCCGTTGGAGAGTCCAGTGTCTGTGTAGAGACCTCCTGAAAGACTTTGATATTGCGAGTTGTCCCGTCGAGCACCCGCTGGACCTTATCATCTGCAATATAATGGACGTCGTCACTTCCTCGACCGACCATGGTGTGCTTTTCTTTGCCATTGTTGTAGCTCCTCCGTTAACAAAAATGCTGTTTGTAAAAATGGATTATCTCGCGCGCAGATTGTGACGATTCTCTCCGACCAATCAGCAGCCGAGAGCGTTGACGTCACAAACACAGCCTGGTTGTCTTTGGCCCTGGCCCCACGATTTTATGAGGCCAGAAAAACTGAGAATTAGGACCAGCCGGCCGGTACTAGGCCAAGTGGAAACGCAACCACAAACGGGCCGCTGACGTCACAGCCCTCTTAAACCGGGCTGCGCGCTGTAGTGGAAACGCGCCATTAGGTTCCTGACTAACACTCTATCCCCTTGCTTCAGAACCACTCCCCTCGCCTTCTGATCATAATAGGACTTGCCCTTTGCACTAGACGCCAGACTGTTATCAGTAGCAATCCGATATGCTTCTGTCATCCTTTCGCGCCATTTCTCAGCATATCCTTTGTGTGTCACTGGATCTGTCTCCTCTGACAGGCCGAACAGGAGATCCACAGGGAGACGAGGTTGACGACCATAGAGCAGAAAGTGAGGCGAATAACTGGTTGATTCGTGACGTGTGCAGTTATACGCGTGTATAACCTGTGGAAGATGTTCTTTCCATGTCTCTTTTTCTTTGTCTGTCAGCGTTCGCAGCATTTGTAACAGAGTTCGGTTGAACCGCTCAGCTGGATTACCTTGCGGGTGGTAAGGAGATGTTCGAGAGTGACCTACTCCAGCGAGCTGCCCGAGTGTTCGAAAGAGATCATTCTCGAATTCTCGTCCTTGATCATGGTGTAGTTTGTTGGGGAACCCAAAACGGGGTATAAAGTCATTATAAATCCGCTCTGCTGCTGTCCGTCCGGATTTATTTTTGGTTGCATAGGCCTGTGCGAACCTTGTGAAGTGGTCGACTACCACCAAGATATATTCATAGCCTCCTTTACTTTTCTCAAGGTGCAAATAGTCAATGCAGACCAGTTCAAGGGGTGAGTTAGACTTCATGCTGCTCATTGGTGCACGCACATGGACCGTTGGTTTCTTCTGTTTAATGCAACAGCATTTCTTTGTCACATAATCCTCTATGAATCTTTTCATATGAGGCCAGTAAAACCTTTCTCTGGCTAGTTGAATGACTCTCTCTGTGCCTACATGTCCCATGTTATCATGAAGGTGTTTCAAGACAAAAGACTGATATTTCAGAGGTAGGACAAGCTGTTTTCTCTCTGGTGTCCGCCGATATAGGATTCCATCTTCAAGGTGTAGACGGTTCCATTCGTGGAGAAGCTTACACGCGGTTCCCTTGACTGACCTCCTCATATCATCTGAAAGTGTATCACTAACTTCCTTTAGCC